GTTGGGTTTCCAACTTTTGGGCTTCTGCTATAGAGTGCTTGGCCGTGGTGAAAACCTGGCCTTGGAGTCCCTACCCATAGGCCCCATAGTAGTTCCTTTTTGGGGTTCATATTTAGAATCCTATAAGATAATCCCAAAAAGGAACTACTATGGGGCCTATGGGTAGATTGATTTCGCTGTGACCACACACGCATCATCCGGCCGCCGAGCTCCAAGCTGCCACCATTCGTCCTCAATGACTCAAAAAGATCTTAGTATACTATACTATACTATAATATATATATATATATAGTATACTAAATATGTATCACCCCACGGTGAAAGGTGTACCTGTGTCGTAACTTGGCTATCTGCACGGAGTGTCTTGACACCCACACGATCAATTTCGTCTGCGCTGCATCTTCTCACCACTTAGCCGGTTTGTTTCCATGTGCCCTTTCTGTTAGATTGCAGATGGGCGGCGTCTATCGTTCAGCTCCTCCAAGATTGCAAATGCCTGCTGCGCATGCGTGCCCTGAAGTGTAAACGCAAAACTTGCACAAGAGATGGCTGGCACTGTGCGTGAACAAATCAACAGCGGTAGAGACGTATACCATGTGCACATTTCCAGGCCGCTTCTAAGGATTAAATTGCACTCCGTGGGCTCTAATTCGGTGCCGTTCATGAGACTCACAAGCTCCTCAAGAGAGCTCGTGCGACTGTCAACCCTCGGCATTCTAGTGGCAAGGTCGTGCGAACAAACAAGACCCTAAACCCAAAGCCCTGAATTCAAGGACTTGCATCTGTTGTTTTTTGTTTGTTGTTCCTGCCTTGTTGCCTGACTCGATGGCCTGAGTCGCCATCTCCTCCAAGGGGGCCACGCGCATACAATCTCGCTCATAGTCATGGTGATAAGAGAACGAGTAACCGTTCTTAGCGTCAGTAGCCATCGGAATCGTACTAGTAACAGTATCAGTAACAGTGATAGTCTGATAGTATTAATGACCTCGAGCTACATTCAGCAGCCCGGAGAGGAGCGAAACGAAGCGTGCTACATCCTGCTACAAAGAAGTCGTTTTGTCGGCTACGGAACTCGATAATATAGGGGCCTTAATGACTAGAGTAGGGTTTTGGGGTATATTATAATAAGGAACTCCCAATAATTGTTTAGGCCCCTATATAATACTACACTCCTGCAACTGGCTTGCAACGTCACGCCTTGACAGCAACCCCAACCGTCAACGGTAGCACACCACCGTGGAGTTGATGTCCGCGGTGTTCCGACAGAGCTTATCTTTCAGTACGTGCCGCTGCCACATGGCCATATGAGCAGGAAAGGTTCCCTGTGTGGAAGCTTCCTTTCGCCGAAGGTGCTTCAAACCAAGACTGCAGATTGGTCCTAAAACCGCGAGGCTGGATTCTTTCATGGTTATGTCGCTGGCTGCTGCGGTCGAAACTGTGCTGGGTGCCGAGTAATGGCATGCAATACGCAGCCAGTTTCTGATCGTCAGACTCATATCTGATGTCTTGTGGCAGAAATGCCGTGACGCATCTTGGGCGCAAACACGAAGCAAGCAGTTGAACGCAGGGGCTCCTCTTCGGCGTGCCATCTTGCTACGGAAAGGTGCTCGATGGCCTCCGAAGATCAGGGAGTTACAGGGAGTTCAACTTTGAGCTCACATGTCAAAACCCAGAGCCGAGCTTCCCTGCAAGAGAGGTGCTAGGTCCTCTGAGCATCTCTGAGCTCCAAACAGAGTCGCGGGCTGATGAGGGGACCCGACTGTGGAGCACCCTTGCGCAGCCAGCCCTGATCCCCGAAGCACTCTGTTTGCTGGTCTAAATCGCCCTCTTCTTGCTTGTGCAGACCCGCTCCATGTAATCTAGTGACCCTGGTCAGCCACGACCCCATGCTCCTTGGCCTCCTGTCGTCGGAGGCCAAGCTCCGTCCAAATAGCTATCGCGTCGTCCGCAGCCTTCCGGAGCTGCAACACTCTCCACGGGCATCGCAGTGTGTTGAAGCCGGAAGCTCTGTGTTTAGGGCCACGCCTGCTTGCCACCTTCCATCTGGCGGTTGCCAAACCTCGCCTCTGCTAGAAGGTGAAGAGAGCGTGCCTCAAGACAAAGCAGACTGGTCTTGAAGTAACTCCGGCATAGCGACAGCACAAGAACTAGCATTGACAGTATATTAAACAGAACGACAACTTGATAGCCGCAATGATTAGTACCCAAAGTACTGGAGGCGGAAGCAGCAGCAGTAGCAGCAACACCTGTTTGATGATGATCGGCATATTTCGTAACCGTCATCATCAGAGAAAAGGCGCAACAAATACGACCTTCCGAAGACTCACTCAGTGACTGCCTAGCTCGCTCGCTTCCTCCCTCACCCACGCGCACCAACAACGACAACAAATGATGATGATTATGATGATGATGCTGCTGCTGGTGGTGGTGGTGGTGATGGAGGGGAGGGTGATGATATTGACGATGGTGATGATGATGATGACTCTAATAAGAAACTCGGACAGAAACGCTCCGTTACGTAGTGCAGTTCCCCGTCGAAATATGTTAAGACTGGATACCCTCTCAGTGAAAACCTTTTCCCAGAACAGAGCTCGGTAGTCAAAGCATTTACTCACTTGCTTGTTGACAGCAATCAGTCCTCGGATCGCGAATCCTCGGCATCTTCGAAGATTGCGAGAGCCTCGGGAACAGTAGGAACATGCATTTCCCGCAAAGAGCAAGCAAGCAGCATCGAGAAGCGTGTCGACAGGTCAATCTACCACAGTGAGCATGACTACACAATCTGTATTTACATCCCTGCGTCTACCCTGAGTCACGGTGGTTAACTTTATAACTCTCAACTATGCAACTACAACCTGAACCCCTGCAAATCCGCGCTGGAGCCCGAAACTCTGTAACTCTTAAGCCGTGGAGCCTTGTTTGCGGCACCTATTGCTTCTTGGAAGGACTTGACCTGGCAGAAACGCGGGACGTAGCTTAGTCGTAGCAGCTACCCATAGGCCCTAAAGTAGTTCCTTTTTGGGATTCCCTAATAGGATTCTATATATGAACCCCAAAAAGAAACTACTATGGGGCCTATGGGTAGTGGTGGTAGTGGTAGTGGTAGTGGTAGGAGTAGCGGTAGCGGTAGTGGCAGTCATCGTAGTCGTACGTAGTAATTATGGAGTGGTGTTCGTCGCCGTGTGGTACTGTTGGAGTTGGTGGTGATGCGGATATTTAGGTGGAGCAGAAGGAGGAGGAACAGGAGGAGGGCGGCTCAGGACCAAAAGGCTTCCCAATGAAACTGTCCCGAATCAAGTTTCGCAGGGCCGTAGGCAGTTTCCGTTGCCAGGTGCCACATAAACTGGAGCTGAATTCGGGATGGGGTCTTGGGGTCCGGGTTTTCGGCTTGTGGGTTTCGTTCAAGCCCAGTAGTTAAGAAACATGCCCGCCGCTCATAGATGTACAGCTCGCCAAGAACTAGCAGAACGGCACCTGCCGGGCGAGACACTTTTCTGCGCAGGCAAAGGGGCCATATGGGGTTCGCACAGAACAAAGCAGGCAGTGGCACGGATAGAGGGCTTTAGGGCCGTGCGCAGCAGACCTAAGACCTACGGCACTGAAGGTCTGAAAACAGCAACACCCAAGCGTCCAAGCAACCCTGAAACGTAGACCATCGCGAATGCTATCCGAATGGCCAGAAGCTAGGACCCTGGGCATCAGGACCAGAGGTGGTACGGTGGTGCAGCAGAAGTTGGAAGTAGCCGAGCGTGCCATCACTACTATGTTTCAGCAGTCGGCACTTCACAGCCACAAGCAGCATAGCGAGGGACATCCGAGATTAGGGACTGGCGCTATGTTCCGAGTCTCATTGCCCCATCCGAAGGCAAGCTGTGAGCGTTTTTCGACGGCTTTCGCTTGCTGCCTAAGGTCTGTTGCGGGCGAGCAGTCGCTCAAATCGCTCACGCGATTGCTCGATAAGGGCAGCGATAGACGCACAATCCACAATTCCCTGTGACGCTTTTCATGCTCAAAAGCCTCTCTAAAGCTCCGGTGGGCGTAACCCATGGAAACCCAAACCTGTACAAGCTAGGGCTATCCG